AGACCTAAATTACTTTAGGGCAGCAGAAAGAGTCTAGCTCAGTAAGCCTCAACCAGGGTGCAATGATTCCTGGACTGTAAGGCTGGAAAGGATTTTGTAAGATCATCAGATCCAGCCCCCTGCACCAGGCAGGAAGGACAACTAGGGTCAGGTGACCCCAGCAAGGTGACCATCCAGTCTCCTCTTGAAGATTTCCAGGGTAGGTTATTGCACCACCTCTGGAGGAAGCTCATTCCACAGCCTGGACACCCTACCTAAGAGATCCTTTCAAGGGTGCTGCAGGGTGCCCTGCAATGTTAGCACCATTAGGTGTGCAAACATGAGTCGTAAGATAAACAGAGGCAGGGTAGATTAACCCAGAATCCCCAAACAGGAATCCACCATGTTGAAAACATTCCGACTTGTTGTGGCCTGTCGGCAACAGGAGAAGTGCTCTATTATTTTTCTGTAGTCAAAAAAAGAGCTGGTATTTTCCGAGGGGAGCTTTGAGTCTATCAAGGGCTGCCTCGAGTCTGAAAAGAAGAACCACTGCTGTAGCTGCTTTTTAGACAACAGCGCCTGGTGGACACTCAGCAGAATTGCATTTGCAGCATATACGGGTTACTACAGCACACTTGTCCAATGCCATTTCAGATTATTGAACTTGTCTCAGGCACAGCTCTAGTAACAAATGGGCTCGATTTATATTGATGAGACATTCATGCTGTCAGCATTAGACCTCATCTTTCTGACTTGTTTAAACAATTCAATTTAATCATTTCTCTGACAATGATTGGTCATCATCGTCCATCATTTTCCAAGCAATATGCTTCCTATTTCTGAAAGACGCTTTTGTTGTATGAATGTAAACTGCCTTGAGATGAATATGTTTGGTCCAAAATTCTCAATTCAAGGGAGTACTTTGAAGGACACTACAATGACAGATGGATAGAAAGATGGTTGGATGAAATTTGCCCTTTTGGTATCAAACTTACATCGATTAAAAACAGATGACAAATCCACGCAAAACTTCAAGAGGGATTTTTTTAAAGCTTGCTGGTCATGTAATGTGGAAGAGTATGTGGATCTGAACAGGAACTATTCAAACATTTCTACACAAAATCCCATACCGACTAATTTTTCATTTTTTCTACCTGACCTAACTTGGGTTTGAAATCTCGAGCACTTTTTGCAATCAACAGCAATGGGTTATAAGCAGAAAATAGACCCTTTTTTTCTTCCCTCATTCTCCCAACAGAAAATCTCCAGAAAGTCTCAGGCCTTGAGGATTCAGACATAAAGAATGTTACAAGGAAAAAGAAACGTGGTGTACATTCTTGGGACTCTTGGGAGGATCACAGGAGATCGTATCTCCAAAGGGTATTGGGGTAGCAGGGCTGTTGGAATATCTCATGGTTTCTCTCTGTCTGGCTGTCTGCCTGTGATGGCACCGTGTATTACAGCTCTAGGAAAGGCAGCAACTTATTCTGACATGTTGGACAGCACAACAGAGCAGAGAGCAGCCAATACTTATGAGAATAATAAGACACACATAAATATTTTGCACCAGTAGTGTAAGTAGGGCTGAGTGAACGGGACAGTCCAGAGGACTGGAAAAGGGCCAATGTGCTCCCTATTTTCAAGAAGGGGCAGAAGGAGGATCCAAGTAATTATAGGCCAGTCAGTCTCACCTCCATCCTTGGAAAGGTCTTTGAAAAGATTATGAAGGATCGTATTTGTGGGAGTCCAGCAGGAAAAATAATGCAGCAGGGAAACCAGCATGGATTCGTAGCAGGTAGATCATGCCTGATCAGTCTGGTTTTGTTTTATGACAGGGCCACAAAAACGCTTACATGCAGGAGTAGAGGTGGATGTCGTTTTCTTGGATTTTAGCAAGGCCTTTGATACAGTATCTCATCCCATTCTCATAAATAAATTAAGAGGCTGTGACACAGATGTCTACACAGTCCGGTGGGTGGCAAATTGGCTTAGCGGTCACACCCAGAGAGTGGTAGCAGACAGGTCGTATCAACCTGAAAGGCTGTGGGTACTGGGGTCCCGCAGGGTTTGGTCCTTGGAGCTGTACTCTTCAATATCTTCACGGTGACCTGGATGTGGGTGTGAAGTGTACTCTGTCCAAGTTTGCAGATGATACTAAATTGCGGGGTGACGTGCACACTCTGGAGGGTAGGGAATGACTGCAGGCAGACCTACACAGGTTAGAAAAGTGGGCACTACACAATAGGATGCAGTACAAGGACAAGTGCAGAGTGCCACACCTAGCACGCAAAAATATCCAGCACATCTACTGGCTGGGAAGTGACCCTCTCAGCAGCACAGAAGCAGAAAGGGATCTCAGAGTCATAGTGGACTCCAAGATGAACGAGTCGTCAGTGTGACGAAATCATCAGCAAAGCTAACTGCACTTTATCATGCATCAGCAGACGCATGACAAACAGAACCAAGGAGGTGATACTTCCCCTCTGGGCAGCTCTGGTCAGACCACAGTTGGAGTACCGCGTCCAGTTTTGGGTGCCGCACTTCAAGAAGGATGTTGATAGATTCGAGAGGGTCCGGAGGAGAGCCACTCGTATGGTTAGGGGCTTACAGGACAAGCCCTATGAGGAGAGCTTGAGGGACCTGGACCTCTTCAGCCTCAATGTGGCCACCTACAAATTCATTAGGGAGATGCAGCAAGGGATCAGAGATGCTCTGTTCACCAGGGCGCCTCTTGGGGTAACAAGGAACAATGGTCACAAACTGACAGAGAGCAGATTTAGGCTAGATATCAGGAAAGGCTTCTTCACGGTAAGGGTGGCCAAAATTTGGAATGGGCTTCCAAGGGAGGTGGTGCTCTCCCCTACCTTGGGGGTCTTTAAGAGGAGACTGGATAGGCATCTGGCTGGGGTCATCTGACCCCAGCACTCTTTCCTGCCTAGGCAGGAGTCAGACTCGATGATCTGTTGAGGTCCCTTTTGACCCTAGCATCTATGAATCTATGACACCAGCCCCGGGCACCAACTTAGGAGGGGCTCCAGAATCACTACCCCCCCCCCAATGGAGTTGAAGCCCTGGCAGCAAAAGCAGCCTTACGGCATTGTTCTTGCAGCAACAGCCAGGTGTGTGGACACCATGCTGCTGTTGTGAGAGCAACAGCTGCAATGTGCAGACTATGCAGCAGTGGCTGCAGAAGCCAGGATTGTTTTCAAGTCCCCTGCATAGCTAAGGCCCTTGCACCCTCTCCTCCTCTGCTCTGAAAACCAACTGGCTCTGGCACTCTCCCCCCCTCCAACCCAACCCAACCCCTCACTTCTCCCACAGGGTTTGCTCAGGACCAGGGCACCAACCCTGCTAGTCATGCCTCTGTTTGCACAACTCCAAAAAGGAGTCAGCTACAGCAGCAGCAGCAGACAAACCATGGTCTCCTTCTTGGTCTCATTTATCAAGCAGAAGAAACTGACCCTGGAATGAAAACTGCTGAAATACCTATATTTCTAGTAAATCAAGTACAGCAGTACTAAAGCTTATGTTTAAGACAGAACAATCTGGGATGTTTTATCTATGGTTTAATTCATGGTTTAAGCCAGTGGTTTTGAACTAGGGGTCCACAGACTATGTCTAAGCAGTTTGTGAAAGATGACTCCGATCAATCAAAAGTATGTGAACACCCACACTACAATTCAAAGGGGTCCGCATCTCCTTTTGAAGTTTCCAAAGGGATCCACACCTCCATTTGAAAATTTTTAGGTGTCCACAAATGAAAAAAGGTTGAAAACCACTGATTTAAGCTGTTGTAAAGCACACTTTAATTTTTATCAGACAGAAGGCTTCCTACCAACATCTGATGAGATATACGTCCAAGGACTTAAATAACAAAGTACCGGACTCTATTCCAGATGGTCACGGTCACTACAAGTGCATTTGGGTCAGAAAAATCTCAATGGCTAATTGGATGCTTCTGGATAGGTAAAGGGAAAGAGAAGGGAGAAGGCCTTGTACCCATCCTCCCTCCAGCCTAACGATAATGGCAGGTGAGGAGGATGGGGGCTTGCAACACAGGCTGACCCCATATTTGTAAGGAAAAAAAGACCTGACAAACCCTTTCAAATTCCCTCTTTTTGCCCCAGGTTGATTCCTGTGAACTCTGCCTGGAATGTGTCACACCTACAGTCTCTCCCTTTGACCCACACTTCTGTCATTAACACAAAGATGTTTTGTCTGAAACCGGGGAGGGAGGTGAAACCTACAGAACCACAGTACACTAAAGAGTGATACCAACTCTTTTCATTTGTCTTAATGGGAATGCCATGCGGAAACAGCCCAAACATCAGTACAGCCTAAAACACCAAAAGGAATTCCCAATCAAACAAACCATCTAAGGTCTAGTTTGTTTCTCTACTGGATAAAACCAGAGCTCAAAATACCAGTGGATCAAGTCATTAAAAGTCGTAATTAGCAACTTCATGGTTATAGGCCCTTCCATTCCAAGAGACATGCGGTGTCATTATACCTTAAAAAGCTGTCATTAGGCTGAGATGATGAGTGGCGATAACAATTCAACTAGCTTTCCAAGCAAGATGGGCTAATCAGATGGAGATGTTGCCCCAAGGGAATTCCTCACATGTTGCACACAGAGCTCAGTATATGCTGAAGTAAGACTTGGGCATCTAGTGCACCTCTGGATAGCCTGACAGGGCCCAAAACTGACCTTATTACTCAGTCCTTACTTGGTGGAAATTGTGTTAGACAAAACTTCAAGTGTAACAACCTCCAGTAGGGTAAGCAAGGATTGAGTGTGGGACTTTCAGTACTAGAACAGGGATGAGCTCAAAGAATAACTCCATTAACTAATGGCAACTAGTAGGCTGTTATCCTTGATGTGGACTAGTCACTAAACGGAGCACATGATACACTTTACAAGCCTGTTACATGAGCACATCAGGCATGATCAATGCAGGCATGCCTGATGAAAATCATCTTTTTGTTACCCCACTTGGAAACAAAGGTCTTGGCTTTAAAAAAGAGCTCCCATTTGAACTCCTTTCTCATCCATTTACGCCTAGAAATGTAGCATCAATTGTAACCTAAAGATTGATCTCAGTTACACTAAAGTAAACCCAAAGCTGCCCCACTGTTTTTAGCCTAGTTAAAGCATTTTACACCAATGTAACTGAGGACAGAATCCAGTCCCTAGGCATAAAAATGAAATAAAAACAACTCAGATCACATCCAGCTGTAAAGGAAAATGGGCAGAGACAAATAGGTTAGAAGATTTGCTCTCCCTCTCACATAGTAATAGCTTAAATTGTGTTAAAAAAAGTTCCCATCATTGTTTACATTCAGTTCAATCATTTAATTGTAACAGCAGAAAAATCTATTAAATGATCCCTGGTTGTTATCTCCTGCAGCTGAAGCCTAATGAATTCACTTGTTTTGTATCATCTAGAGATGGATCTAGATGAAGTGTTCCCCCACCCTCAGGTATTGCATTATCATTTCATCTGGATATTCGTGATAGGATGAGGAACAAAGCACTACCTGTTCTCCCTCCAAGATGTGGCAATGGGGCTTAAAGATGCAGCAAGCTTGTCTCCACCTGCACAGAAGCTCAAGACCTGCTGGATGGAGTGAGTCACTTCTTTGGCAATCACAATCTTTCAAAAGAAGCCTCCCAGGATACTGCATTGAATGGAGACCTAAATCCTTTGAGAGTTCGTAGAACAATTATCCTAGACATATTCCTTTTCTCAATGTGATGACAACTGGCAATAGAGCACAACGCTTGGAAATCCAACGTGGGGGCTTTATTCTCTTTGTTCTAGATGTTGGGCCAAATCAGGCTCTTCCTCAGGGTGATTTCAGGTCCAGGTTTAACATGCCAGGAAGTACCATGACAAAATCCTCTCCTGCAGTGCTTTGATCAGTCTGCTAATGACTGAAAACCAGCAGTTAAGATGTCTGCAATGGGTGCAAAGATGTTTAAGTGTTTAATGGTAACTAGGCTGTACATGCTGCCATGGACTAAGAATTGCTCCATTTGGACTTTGGAGTTCAAAACTAAATTTGCTCGTTCTGCAATAAGAACATCTCTTGAAGCTATAGGGTTCCTCCTGCAACCTTTACTTTAGCAATTCATCCCAACTCATGTAAGTGGACCCATTAGCCTACTTCCCTGGGAGAACTCACAGCAAGTAGCTAGATTGGGGCAGCAGGTTTCAATCTACATACCCAACAGTGTTGGCTACAAGCTTGGTTACAATTATTATTTGTTATCACCATAGTGTTTGTTAAGAGTTGCAGAAAACAGCCAGAAAGACAGGAGGACAAATTCAACAGAGCTGTACGTATTTATGTCAGTGATGAATCTGACCCATTGCTGCAAAACCATCACAAACTGAACAGACGTGTAAAGACAGTGCAGAAACATCGAGCTTGATTCTCCACCCACTTCCCACTGATGTGAATCTGGAGTATTACCACTGAATGCAATAGCATTAGTCTGGATTGCACAGCAGTGATGGCGAGCTGAATCTGGCCCAACAGAGTTGCATCATCGCAAATGACAGGGAACTACGGCCTGTAGTATACAAAATAATCTGAGGACAAATGCATTACAAATTGGCATGGGATCGTCTTTTCAGGTAATTAGTAAGTCCACTCCACCATTCTTTGTAAGGTGGATTAGTGAGGAAAGACTTCACAGAAGAAGTGTGATTTCAGGAGAGATATGGCAGGGGAGAGAATTGGTCGGTGTTTTTTTTAAAGAGTGGGAGGCTAGCAACAGTGGGCCAAAAAAACCCAACTGCTGACAATATACACGTGTGGGGTTTATTTTTCTGTCAGGAAAGACAGAGACCTTGAAGTTTGCTACTAACAAACCACCAGGCTTTATTCTCTTCTTTACAAACACAGGCACACACTGCTTCCTGTTAAGGATTCTGGGCAATTACTTCCAACAGGCATTTCCTGTAAGAAGAATACCACTAGAAGTCTTTCCAAATACTACAGCGTGGGCACCTATTGCAGCCCCACTGGGAGGCGTTCCAAGTAGGTGGAACATCACCTGACAAAGCCGGAGAAAAACCTTTTTATAACTTCTGGTACATAAATTTGAAGTAATTCTGCCTGTTGTAAATGGGCCTGAATTACAGTCCCATATCTGACCAAGCCCAAACACTGAGGATGTTCAGATTCAGGCTTAATTTTTGTAGACAGTCCCTATATCTACACGGGGCCCAAATGAAACCTCACTATCAAAATCTGGAAGGAAGTGGGAATCTGTTTTGTGCATCACTAGCTCTGATCCACAGGTTAGCTCCCAAGCCTGAAATGTGCGGACCAGGAAATGGGTGCAAGGGGGATATTGCATTCCGGTTTTTTTGGTCAAAATGTTAAAATTGTTGCGCTCGGCTCTCATGTTAAATCAGTGGGATGTGATGATGCTTAGCACCATGCAGAATTGGGTCCTGAAACAACAGTGTCTCTGCCTATCTGCTGCCATATTCTGTTTACAATGATAAGCCAAAGTCGCCCATGGAAATCAGTGTTCAACCTCTGACTTCACACGAGTGTAACCATGAGGCAGAATTTGACCAGAGAGGTGAAACTTGCTAAGTCCAGGCACCAAGGAAGCAAACATTTTGGCTGAGATATTTTGGACCCATGGTGATTTAAAAAAAAGATACAGGTAATGGCTAGGTCAACCCTCCTTGACCTCCAAATCAAGAACAATTCAAGAGAGCCTGCAAACTCCCTTCTCTACTTCCTTGGTAATCTCTTTCCCACAGTTAAGAAAAACACAGGAAGATCTAAGGAAACCTATGTGGAAACGCAAAAGACAAAGGCACGGGATCTGAAAATAGAAGGCAAGTCCATATATTTCCTTTACATACTGGGTCCGAGTCTAGTTTTTGGCTGAATTTTGAAATCTCTGGGACCATATGCTTTTGCCATTCCCTGTAGGGTACAAAGGGAAACTGACTTGTTCAGCTCTTTATCACTTACAGGATTAGACAAGTCTGTTTTCCTTTTGCCCAATAACTTAAAAAAATCCTACTCCATGCTAACAGCTTTACTGTGTTAGAACCACAACAAAGGCCTCTGCTTTGGCTCTGTGCTCACCACCAGCTAACCGTGAATCCCCCTGCATTTGTAAATATTAGGGGAGCTTGCAGAAGTCACATCTCATAAAGTTCAGCATAGGATGAAGACTTACTGCACCCATCTGCAGAAAGCCAACAAAATTCAACTTCAGACCTTGGGCAATCCCACCTGGGCATGCCCAGTCTCTGCATTAGTCACAACTTTAAAGGGAAACGGCAAAATTAATTTGGGCACAAGGAAGAGAAACTGTCCAGACCTCTGATCACAGCAGGTCTGAAAAATTCCTTTCAGCCTTTCAAAATGTAATAATTTTAGGAATCCTGAAACCTGAGGGTGGATTGGGAAATGTCCAAGCAGGGAAGGAGGAGGAGGAGGATTTAGTGAGGGCAGCAAGTAGGTTCTGTAAGAGCAAAGTAATCTGAGGATTTGTGCACAAGGGTAGTGCAGTATCCCTCAGAACTGCTCGGCATCCCACGCGCTGTCCCCTAGAGAGCTCAGCAGAGTGCGCGGCTTTCATTACGCCGTTAGAATGACTGCAGCATTCTCAAGGATCAAGAGATCCACGACTGCATTCACTACTTGATGAATTAATCTCTTACCATTTGCAGAGTGCTTGAAAATACAGGGCTTGTATCTGATCGTTCTTTATGCTTCATATCAGTGACATTCTGACAACTAGCCCAGGAGGTTAAATAATTACTTCACGGTGCTAGAAGTTTTCTGGGTGTAAAAGCATAACTAAGACCACCTGCATCTGCTCTGGGTACATTTCATTGGAGTATCGGGCCCACATAGGGCACAGACAACTGGAAGGTACTGCTGCATGGGATTAGACCAGTGGCCTCCAACCTTTTTAAGTAGGAGATCACCTTTGGCATTTAAAAGCAACCCAAGATCTACCGTGCACTGCCACCTCCCCCACTCACACACCTCTCCCCAGCCAGCAGGTAAGTCTGTGGGGAGGGAAGGGGGGAAGCAGATTGAGGCGGAGGAAGAAAAAAATATTTGGGGGCATGCCTTCCCAGCAGGTAAATCTCACCTGGCTGGGGCCCCACTCAACTCATGCCTGCTCCT